CAGACAGAGCCTGGAGGAAAAATTCATTGTTCCTCCTCCAACGTGGAGGTCCCATGGCATTAATTTCAAAACTAACAGTGAAAAATAAAACAGTAAATTTTATTATCCCCCCCTAGACCCTTTTAGTGTTTATTTAGGATTGCATGATTTATGCTAATAGCTGCATAGTCCAGTTCGGTACCCAGCACAAAATAGGTACGCAATAAGGCATGGGAAGAGAAAGCAAATGAAAAAAGAAGAAACAAACAACATGGATGCAGGTGTTAGCATATGCTGCTTTGCTCCATCAGTTAAAGACGGACACACGTCCTCCCTAAGGGTGTTGGAATGGATACCTCGCACGAATGACACAAGAAAGCACAACTCTCCCTCTCTGTGTCATTGCCATGTGTTTTTACACAACCTGTGCAACGGTACACAGCAGCCCCGGTTATCGCCGATGCTCAGAAATATACTCTATGAAACCCAAACAAACGGCGTCCCAAGAGCAGACTTTCAATTCAATGGGCATGACTTGGAGGGATGCCATCATCTCGCATAAGTGAGGGCTCACTGATACTTGGTCACGTCCTAGCCCTTTTCAATGTTTTCGGTCTTCACGGAAAAACCTGGATCACACGCTATTTTCTAGTTTGTTCCTTCCCTTTCACATACTGTGTTGGCGCACCACCACCGCCACCCCCAGCCCCATGGGCTCCTTCCGAACTGGCCTTTGCCACCTCGCCATGCCTGTGGCTTTCTGCATTCCACCCTCCCCTCTCACGCACACTCCATCAGGAGGGGCTGCTTCGCTTTTGTTTCCTTTTGCTTTGTGACCCATGCCTGGTTCGTGGGCAGCTGTTAGGAAATATCCACGACCGAATGAGGGGCTGTAGCTCTGGGCAAGTTACCTCAACCTGGTGGGGCTGCAGATTGTGCAGTTGTCAACGAAGGGCTCCGTACGTTCCCCGCCCACATAAACATCATATGATCGGGGCGCCCGGTGGCTCAGTCGGTTGAGCATCTGACTCTTGGTTTGGGCTTAGATCATGATCTCGAGGTTGCAGGAGTTCAAGCCCCCTGTTGGGCTCTGTGCTGAGAGCACAGAGCCTGCTTGAGATTCTCTCTTTCCCTCTCTCCCTGCCCCCCACCGCCCCGCTTGTGCTGTCTCTGTCTCTGTCAAAATAAATAAATAGACTTAAAAAAATAAACATCAAATGATCAAGAGCGATCAGTGTGGTCACCCCAAATACCAGTGCAGGAATCTCACCTGATTGTTTCCATGCACGAAAAGAAAAAGAGAAAAGCAGAAAATAGTAACAATAATGATAACTGCAATAGTTTAACCAAACTGCCATTCCCTCCAGCTTTCTCTCCACGAGAAGCCGGGAAGACACGTCCACTGTCTTTGGAAGTGAGCTGGGGGGAGCAGACGTGGCCCTGGGCATCCCGTAAGACAGAGGGTTGGGTCTGTCCTAGGAGTTAACCCAGGGGAAGGACATGAACACAGGGTTGACAGAGGCCCCGCCTCTGAAACTCTCCTACTAGTGTCAACAGCAAAAAATTTCCTCCTGAAGAAGAGAGTCTGGTGTGGTGGCTGACCTCTCACGCCCCTGCTCTGTCACTCTGGGACCCAGACACAGTCTCCATAAGCCCGTCCAGTATGCCAAAGGTCCTGGCCCTCTCTCCTCGAGCCTTTCGGTCATTCCGTTCCCTGCCCAGGGGGTTCCCTGCAACCCACCTTCCCCAGGCCAAGCCTTACTCAGCCCTGTGTCTGGCCTTAGACATCCTACCTTGCACGAGGCTGTTCCTGACCCCACACACCCCCAGTGTGGGCTGGGTATCTCTCCTCTGAGCACATTCTGATCCCTACCCCCGGGGGGTGCCGACCTATGTCACCTTCCCATCTAAGCAGACTACGAGCTGCTCAATCTTACCTGGACCTCCTAGCACAGCAGGCCCTCAAGACACACTTGCTGAATGAATGAATGAATGAATGATGAATGAATGAAATGATGAATGAGTGAATGAATTAATGAATGAATGAATTGGTGAATGAGTGTCCTTGGCAGTGACCAGCTGTGCAGAGCATATATCTCACTCACAGCCTTTTCCAGGCCACGAAGACCAGCCCTCCAGCACTGCCTTGCACCTGCCCGTGCCTCACCTTCGATCTATCCGGTTTTCATAACAAGGCTGTGCTCTTCGAGGGCAGGGACTGTGCCTTCTATCTCTGCTCGAATCTGGCATGGCCGGAAGTCCCCCTGCACCCACCTGCGGAGTGCGGTCACCAGCAGGAGCCCATCCTCTCCCCTCCTTCTCCCTGGGGCTCACCTTCTCCAGAGCTTTCAACCTGCCATTGAGGTATTAGTCCTGCCCCCGGCTGACGCTAGGTTCACGCCTGCTTCTTGGATGTATTTGGCTTGTGAACAACCAATTCCAGTTGATCTCAATAGTAGCGATGTTTATTTCTAACTACTTCTGAGAGACTTAACAAATTGTAAAAACAAAAAACATAAAATACGCTGAGAATGAAAACATACTAGACCATTATCTTGGCAGGCATTTTGTTTATAATTTTTATAATAAATAATATAATGTCCCTGTTTTACATTTTATATATATATTTATGTGTGTGTATATATATATATGTATATTAGATATCTATACTTCAATAGAAAGAGACATAAAAAAGCCTTTCAAATGAGGCATGACGCACAACACTGGACACTCTTATTTACAATATAGAGATGTAATTTCTACACAATATAATAGATGCTCAGAGGCCAGAGAGGGTTTACAAAGACAGGAGATCACCCCTGTAAAAGAGGGGTGCACCATGCAGCTGGACGTTTATTGCCATTAGTTCTTACCGTGTCCAGACAGCATATTGAAGTTAAAAATGGCATCTGGTTATTGGAAAAGACAATGGTCATCAGATTCCCCCTGGCTCCATAACCACTGGCTACACGGTCTGCAAATGACCAGGGAGTGACAAGCTTTGCTGATGGGTGTCAGAAACACAAAATGAAATGCTCTCATCGGAGGGGCTCTGCATTTGGCCAAAAAGGAGAAGTTGCTACAAACGACGTACAGTCCTGCACTGACCATGAACACTCGTCTAGACCAGGAAACACCACATCATGGGCTCCACTGCGGGAACGGATTCCTCCTGGGTTATACACCGGGTCGGCGCCATTCGTGAGTAATCAGAGTCTATGTACATCGGGAACTTGGAAAATGACCCTCAGGACTTACTGATCCCATACGGGTTAAGCCTAGGACACAGAGAAAGTTCGCAGAAGACCCACAGAGAAGCCCTAACTCCATTGTGTGAAAGTCTGCCTTTGTGGCTCATTCAACTCCACCCCCCCCCACCCGCCTTCTCCTTTCACAAGGAACCCAGGAGTCTACGATCCTGCAAAGTTGCCCACCTGCATTGGTTTCTCGTTGGTCTGCATTTGTTTTGTAAAGTCTCACTGTTAATATGTGAGGACTAAAATTCTCAGATGAGCCAAGATTTGCTTGGTTTTATGACCATGGCACTGGTGACCTAAGGTCACGGTCCAGGTGCTGGGACCGGGAATCTGGTCGCAGGTGATTTTCCGCACTTTAGAAGGGGATTTTGCAGAAACAGGAGCCTCTGTCTCCTGAAGATGGGTCTCTGTGTTAATCATCCCTACTGTCCTGGTCCACGTGCTCCTTTAGTACAACTAGGTGATTCTCCGGCCTTCCTTTAGGCCAAGAGTCTACACAGTCTATGAGACCATATCAAACATCCCGGTGATTTTCAAAACTTCCCTTAAGTCATTTGCCACTAACTATTTAAGCTGGGTCCGCAATCTGGCTGTTGTCCTCCTCTCTGATCTCACTGTTGTCCCTGTCGTCCATTGTTTTTTATCAATGGTGACCTCTCCTAGCCCTTTATTTTCCTAAGGCAAGAAGACATTTCTATGGAAAGATAACCAGCACCTTCTTAGAGCTCCCCTGAGGTTTGTAATCCAGCACTCCTCCGTTTAGATGTTTCTCCTTCCACGGAGAGAAGCAGCGGCTGGCCATGGTAATGGTTTTATTTGTATTTTTTTTTTTTTTTTTTTTTTTTTTTTTTGCAGTTGCATCAAATGCTAACATAGCATTTCTTTGGAGGCGGATCAGCAGAAGCCTGACGCATGTGCATTAATCCCAGCTCCCCCTTCCGCTTTACCCCTTAGATTTACCCTAAGTCCGTTTTCCTGACTACAGACAGAGATTTAAGCAATCACAGAAGTAACCTGTGGGCCAGGGCTCTGCATAGACAGTCTGGAGAAGCAGGTGAAGCAATGATTTCACCTCGTCCCCTCTAGTTACTTCTCTTTGTAACAAACCTGCATCAGAGCATCACCGTTACCCCCCGCCCATACCTTACATCACCCAACCCACTGCTGCTAACGAAACAGAACTGGAGTTTATAAAGCATTCCTTTGCCCCTTGTTGAGAAAACACGAGGAGAGAATGATCGCGTGGGCATCGCACTGTCTCGAACGAGTGGCACATGTGAATCTATCGAGGATTATATGTACACAAATATGTTCCACTTCTGCACAGAGATTAACCTGAGTTCTGAAATGCTTGTATGCACTTAATTGAATCAGAATGATAAAGCTATGAGCTAGAAACATACCGGACAAACCTAGTAAATCAAGAACAATCTCTCTGGGAGCCGGTGGTGGATAAAAAGGTGGGCTCGCCAACTCCCAAGTATTCTGTTGCTTTATTTTGTCATAGTTTCCCTCCATATCTTGAAGGAGACTCCAGGTGGCTAGACAGGTTCGGGCAAAGTCTTGTCTTCTGCGTTACTGTACTGGTTCAGCTTTCCCACATCTCCAAAATGGAAGCACCTCGAATGGCCGGTCCCACCCCACCCTCCTTGCCTCGGTGCCTTCCTCTCCGAGCTCTTCCTGGAGTGGCAGCGGGCTGTACAAGGACGTCTCAGCTAAAGCTCTCGCGGATCGCCAGGCTTCCGGCAAGGCCCCCGCCCCCTACTACTTGAAGTATTTGAGCCCCGCCACCAGGAAGAACTTCTCCAGGAAGAGCTCTGAGTCCAGCACGGCGATGTGGGCGGCGCGGCCAATCAGGGCGTTGGCAGTGTTGGGCAAGGCGTGGAACACGTTGTGTCGGATCAAAGTGCAGTCCTTGGCCTCAACCAGAGGGCGCAGAAGGTTATTGATCATCTCCGCGTACACGGGCCCTGGGAGGAGGGGAGAAGGAGGTGAAGTCGGGGCAGAACCGGCCAGCGGGATCTGGAGAAAAACACTGGGCCTGCTGGGTCCCCATCCCAGGAGGGGGGACATCCCAGTGCCCAAAGGCGCTGTCGATTTCACGAATTTACTTGGGCTTTTTACATCAGAAAGCCAGGGGAGGGGGGCGCCTGGGTGGCTCAGTCAGTTCAGCATCTGACTGCAGCTCAGGTCATGATCTCACGGTTTGTGAGTTCGAGACCCACTTCTCTCTCTCTCTCTCTCTCTCTCTCTCTCTCTCTCTCTCTCTGTCTCTGCCCCTCACTAACTTTTGCCCTCTCTCTTTCAGAAAAAACAAAATCCATATAAAAAAACAATCAATCAGAAAGTTGGTTAAAAAAAACATTACATGTGGCTTACCCGTATGTCTGTCTTTGAGGGCAGTTTTGCACATCTCGATCCGGGCTGAATGAAATGGCACGTAGCGATCTTGGGGAGAAGCTACCAGCACGACATTTTTAAAATACTGCAGACCTGAAGGAGCCGGGAGGGTGCCTTTCACCAGGCGGCTCCCCCTGCCCTCCTGGTTCGCACACACTCTGTGAACTTGCCCCGGGAGAGGGGAAGAGGGAAGAGCAGCTGGCTGTGGCACTGATGTCCCATTAGCCACAGATGCTGAAGGGACGCACGGAGAGAGCTGCTCTCAAGGGGGGGAAGGGGAGCTGCAGGCAGGTGACAAGGGAACCTCTCTGGGCAGCGGCACTGAGTGCATAAGGAAGAAAGCCAGTGTTGACTCCACCTTCTCAACGGGGACAGCCCCAACCTGCGGGGCTCATCCCATCACCCGAAGGAGGAAGACGGCCTCTGAACGCGCCTCCTTGCCTGCAGCCGGTCTCCGGTGCTGGGACAGGGGGGCCGAACAGCACAGCGCGTCCCTTCGTCCTCAGACCCCAGCACGGGCCAGCAGACACTGCCCCCCAGGCCCTCAGCCCAGTGCCCCTCCAGCAAGGTGGGACCTCTCATCCCAGGTCACATCCCAAGACCACCTGCTGGGAGCCAGCCTACCTCAGTGGCTGGCGGATACAGGGCAGGACCGTAAGGACCAGCCGCGTGCCCCATCTCAGGACAGCTCTGCAGGGTCAGCCCAGCTCCCGAGCTCTCTGTGCCGACCACACCGTCGTCCAGCTTCCCCTCTGCCCTCCTTGCCCCCTGGGGCTGGGGGGAGTCTGGAAGGCTCGGCGTGGCACAGACACACGGTGGACGGGACTTGCCCGGGGACCCACACCAGGCGGCAGCTACGCCGGACTCACATTCAGACAGGTGCAGACACGTCAGCAGGGGCAGCGTTCACAGGACCACAGGGAGGGGGACATGGGACCGAGGCTGCGCCAGGCTGGCCTGCCCGGCAGGACTGAGCAGGCCACCCGGTCACCTCTCTGCTCCCTCCCTGGACACACAGACCACTGCTGCTCTCTGCTCATTCCCACAGCACGGACGGGGACTTCAACACCTCTGTGCGTCTCCTAGTCCACTGGGGGCGAAGGTGTGACTTCAGCCCTGCCTGGGACAGACTCCTGTCTCCCCCTGCACCGCCCACCCGAACGGACAGTGCTTATGTGCCCTTTCTGTGGGGGGTCCCGACCTGGGAAGGAGTAGACCCAGGGCTTGTGACTGGGGCACAGATGGCTTGGCAGGAAGTAGCAGCCACAGCTTCTGTGTGCCGAGAGGACCCCTACGCACACCTCGGCTGGTCTTTGGTGCCCTTCCTCGGGGGCAGCTGAGTTTGTGAGTCACTGTCGGGCTCCCTGTGAGCTGAAGACGCTGTGTGTGCTGGGCCTCCTCACTACACCCTTCCCTGAGCATGCTGACGCCGTGGTGAAGTGATCTGGGGTCTCACGGCTGGACCCCCAGCTCCCACTCGTGACCACAGCCACGTGCTGTGGAGGAAGGCCCTCACCTGTTTTCTGGCTGAGTTGGTAGAGGAAACATTTGCGTAGATCAGCATTATCCCTGAAGGTCAGCTGCAGAAGGGACCCGGATTTCTTTAATTTCTGCATGAGCCACAAGCCTAGAAAGACAAAAACGCAAGAAAAGAAAAACGAAAGAAAGAACATAAAGAGAGCAAATAATAATAATTGGGGAGGGGTTAACGTGAAACTGTGGTTTTTAGTGAATTTTAAAATAAGAGGGAAGTAGGCACTTTGGCAATTCTTGGGAATTTGGCAATTCTTCCCAATTCTTGGGAAGTTGGGGTAAATTTTTCTCAGGTACCCGTGGCGGGGTTATAAAATCAAATGATACGGCGATTGGCATTAAGAGTCCTGACACTTCCATACCCTTCGGCCCATTTGACCTCCTCCCATAAATCTAGCCAAAGGAAATAATCCCAAACACAGAGCTGTAGGTAGGAATGGTCCTTACAGATCCACATAGCACACAAACTGAAAGCAGGCTTCCATGTCAGAGTCTATCCCTGACCTTGGTTATGGGGGCACCAACGCTGATGAGGACTATGACACCACCACGACAAAAGTGAGTTTCATACAAATGCAAGGGAATGAATACAATGCGGTTCTTTTTGGAACATTGCAAGATTATAATTGTGAAAAAAGTGAAATGTGGTTTAAATCACTTGTTTCTACCCAAAGATGGCTGCCCCGGTTTGTGAGGACAGAGAGAACGGCCAAGGAGCCGTCTTCCATTTGTCATGATCATTTCCAGTAATGCCCTTAAAATAACGGAAAGGCAGACAACCGATCTGCCCCATCGGTGAGGAAGGTCAGCAGCCCAGTCTGCCCTGAGGGTCAGGCAAGGTCAGGGGAGCAGTGGCAGGAGGCTGGGAGCTGGGCAGGGCGCAAAGAACCTCAGGGTGGCCCAAGGTGCCACCTAATGGATTGGGGCGATTGGGGACCACTGAAGTCTTTGTCAGGAGCGTGATTTAATAAACTAGCTGCTAAGCGAGACCCGATGCCTTCCTTGGGCTCCAACAGTCACCGGCCCCTGGGGAGCATCCGTGCGATCTGCTGGGCAGTCCACCCCCATCACATCCCTCGGGGCCCTTCATCATCAGGCTTTTGCTGAGAGCACCACTGTCATCTTCTGCCCCTCTCGGTCACCCGGCGTTTCTGTTGTTTGCTGATTACACCATGCTTCTATGCTATTACACGCACTATTTCTTCTGCACCAGAAAACGTGTCCCACCGTTCACTACCTTGGAAAGTCTGCTCACTATCCAAGATTCATTGAACCTTGCTTCCTTACCCTCCGTGGTGTCCCCAACCTGACAGGACAGAGGAAATTGTGGGAGCCTCAAAGCTGCGGGCTGTGCCAGTGAGAAGAAGAGAATCCGGCTACGGGTGATGCGTGTGTGTGTTAGCAAGCTTCTTCTTTCCTTCTGCTTAATCCTCAACAATTCTCACACGCGCATGCGCACACACACACACACACCACTGCACACAAAGAGAGATGATACACATGTTTACAGACATGCAAAGGTACACAACATACACAGTCACATCATAAACGTATCCATGTCTCAAATGCATCCATACAGACACACAAACAGACACACATACACAGCCCCATTTTAAAAAGTAAGGATGGGGCACCTGGGTGGCTCAGTCGGCTAAGTGTCCGACTTCGGCTCAGGTCATGATCTCACAGCTTGTGAGTTCGAGCCCCGTGTCGCACTCTGTGCTGACAGCTCAGAGCCTGGAGTCTGCTCTGGATTCTGTGTCCCCCTCTCTCTCTGCCTCTCCACCGTTCACGTGCACTTTCTTTCTCTTTCTCCCTCTCTCAAAAATAAATAAACATTAAAAAAAAAAAAAAAGGAAGGAAACTGAGTAGCAGAGAGATGAAAATGTCTTGTCCAGAGTCGTCATGCTGAAGGCTGAAAGAAGGTGCCACCTGTGAGGCAGGAAGTGGGGCCTCCCTGGGCCCTCAATCTGCCTGCTTCTTGGTTTTGGACTTGCAGCCTCCAGACTGTGAGGCATACCCTTCTGTCGTTTACGAGCCACCTGGTCTGTGAGGATGTGTCACCACAGCCCGAACAGCCCCAGGCCCCCTGCCCCCTCCACACTTCTGTGCCTCAGTCTCTTCCAGCCACGACCCAGGGGCATCACGCTTCTGCTCACAGATGAGATCCTGGGGCGCATCTAGTCTGAGCTCACTCGACTCACAAACGAGAGGCCCTCTCTCCGAGGCCAAAGCCTTTGCTCGGCATCCCGTGCCTGAAGAGGCTCTGAAGCCACCAGATTCCACCGAGGAGAACATCTGCTTCTGTTTTCATCTTCCCACTGCTCCGAATGGATAGCGGGGGGCGGGGGTGACGGGGCTTGGGCGAGTCTTACCTGTACTAACCAGCGTGCTGTTGTTGTACAGGGTCCCCAGGTGAGGCCCGGACAGCGACAGGAATGTGTGCAGTTTGTTGAGGTAATACCGGAACCGGGGCCGCGTTAGGACCGACCGGATGATGATGTTGCCAAGGGAGTGGCCAATGAAGCTGTTAGGACAGAAACGGCGCGTGAGCGCGGCCTCAGGAGGCCAGCGGCTGGGCGGGCGGCACCACGGGGTCCGCCTCCCTCCCCCACCCCGATTCGGGGGAACGGGCAAAGAGAATGAGGGCTGCTACCCCATCCTCGCTGGGTTTCCAGATTCTGGCCACAGTTCGCCTGAGATGGAGGCCTTGGGAGCGAGGCCGCTGTTGCCCAGTGTGGCCGGAAGTGCGGGCGTGTGGCCCGGCTCTCCGTTATTGCAGCATCCCTGTGTGCCCTCTGTGTCTCCTCCCCAGCCACCCGGGGGTGCTTTCTGAAATACACACCGGGCACTGAACCATCCTGCTCGTTCACAGGACGAAACCCCATTTCCTTGGCCCGGCCTATGAGGCCCTTCACGACCTGACTTCCGACGGCCTCTGCAATGTACTCATTTCTCACTGTCATTTCACACTTGTTGAGTCGCCCGCTGTCGGCTCATGCCGTCTGAGACCCTCCTACATGCTCGGCTCCAGTCACACATCTGTGGACCCAACACACCGTCATCATCCAATCGGAGGGCCGGTCGATCGAAACCCTAGCACACGAAAGGTATGCAGCGCCCCACCTCTGCTCATGGTGAGCGTAAAACAGGCCACATAAGGAAATGAACAGGAGTCTACGAGATGGCTTTCCCTCGCTGGTGGCCTGTGACTTTCACCTCATCTCTACAGGCCTCTGACTCCTCATGGTGAGATACAGAAGGGACACTTTGTCTCTGAGGCCTCAGCGGGCTAATGCCCGTGGAAGGACACCCCACCGTGTCCGAAATGGCAAACGCACAAAGACACAAGCCATTTACTGCCACTTGAATCGCGAAACATTTCAGCCAAGCTAACTGCCACAGTGGAAGGAGGGAACAAGCACAGACGGAAACCTCTCACCAGGCAGTGACGTGTTCCGCTAGGTGCCACAGGACGCCGGGGCTGGTCCCGCCTGGCGGGTGGGGAACCAGAGGCTCCGAGATTTGGGAAGCTTGCAAGAGTCTGCATGGCCCAGTCGGTACTCGGACATGTGAGTGTTAGAAGAATAACGGTTCAAACCGAGGGATTTTTGTTGGAGCCCAGTCCCTTCCTACTGAGCTACCCAACGTTCCTCCTCCCCCACTCGCTTCCGCTCTGGGAGTCGTCTACCCCAGTAAGTCACAAGTTAGCCTGTCACGGTGGCGGACAGAAGGCAGTACGCTGAAGCTGTATGCAGCCAACATCCAGGAAGGCCACCCCTCTTCCCCCGGCATTAACTCCCTGTGGCTTCCTTTTACCTAATTCGGGATATGGAGAGGTTGTACAGCTGGATGTGCTGAATGATCTCATCCAACAAGCGATCTGTCATGGTATCAAAGTCTGCAAATGTGTCCACCTGGAAGAGGAGAGAGGGGACGGCTGTCGGGCGGGGTCTTCCCTGGGGCACGGCGGCACGTTCTGGGAACTGTGCTGGGATCACAGGGGGCAGGGGGTTCAGCGCCAAGGAAAGGGGCTCACAGCCCGGGGCTCTAAGGAGGACACTCGGGACGCTGGAGAACCCTCAGTCAGGAGGGTGGCTGGAAACGAACGGGAGAAGCAGGATGGACAGACCAGGCAGCTCCTACCGCCACGTCACGTGCCAGGCACTGCACGTGCCCGCTGACTGCTGGCCCCACCGCACCTCGAGGAGACGGGCTCCGAGGGTGAGCCCCGTGCCACCAGGACTCGCACCCAAGCCTGCCTGGCCTCAAAACCCTGCCCTCTCCCCAGCTCAGCCTCGAGACCGCACTCCCAGGCCATGTCCAGGGAAGGATCCAAAGCCATCAGTGACTCCACACGGATTGTCAGAGGACACGGGCATCAAAGGAAGAGGAGAAACGTCATCTGTGTCTTTGAAAACCTTCAAGGGAGGGCATGGGGAAGACAGGCTAGGTTGGTTTATATAACTTCAAAGGTGAACTTTCGGAAACAGATGGGAACTCTGGGGAGGGAGATCCAGGGCCAACATGAAAACCATTTCTCACTAGTGGCACTGTCGGCCAGTGTCATGGGCTCCCTGCACCTGCACGGGGCACCAGCTCCAGAGGTGAACAACAATAGGTCTTATGAGTATTCACCAGGGTGGGGAAGAAGAGGAGTGGAGAGAAGGCCTTTGGCTCACTGTCACCTGCCATTCAATGGTCCTTGAGGCTCTGGAGGGATGAAACGCTCTGGTCAATGTCTCAGTGTCACAGAGGGGGACAGAACCACGTCTGCAGGCCAGCTCTCCTGCTTACAGGACCTGCGCCCGGGACTGTTCTTCCCCAGTGCAAACCTGTCTCCTCCAAGTCCTGAAGGCGGACCATGCAGCCTGCTCCTTAGCCGCAGTGTAAGGATTCGGTAAACTATTCGCATCACAGTTAAGACAGAGGCCGTTATGTTTGAGACCCCCCCAGCCTTCCAGGCCCTGTTTCCTCAGCTGTGTACTGTTAACTTAACAGGGGTTATTGAATACATGGTAGCAATTACAAGGGCGGAGCAGACTTTGATGAGAAATGTTCTGGAGGACAGAGTAGGTTTAAAAACTGATAGCAACTAGGGTGCTTTCATTTGCTTATTTTTTAAGCTTTTTTTTTTAACTTTATTTTGAGAGAGACAGAGAGAAGGGGAGGGGCAGGGAGAGAGGGAGAGAAAGAATCCCAAGCAGGCTCCGCACTGTCAGTGCAGAGCCCAACACGGGGCTCGAACTCACGAACCGTGAGATCATGGCCTGAGACGAAATCAAGAGTCGGAGGCTTAACCGACTGAGCCGCCCGAGCACCCCTGACCAGGGTGCTTTTAAAGGGATGTACTGGAAATCCACTTGCTCATGACGTTTACAACTTTCAAGAAATAATGACAACAGGTCACGGAATATAATCATTCCTGAGTGACCACCCCCCACCCCCGACACACACACCAATTCATGACTTCTGTTAGATCCAGTCCAATGGTCCCCAGGGTACCCTGGTTAAAACCCTCTGCCATGAGGGCTGCATCACAGGGGCTGAATTACGCCTGTGACAGCCCCCTTCACCCGGTAGAGACGCAGGGACACTCCCATCATTTATGCTCTGTGGGTGACAGCTCAGAGGCCAAAGGCCCCAGGCACCTGACGGACATCTTTTCACTCCGTACTATTTCTGCACCCTCCAAAAGGAAACAATGACTCATTTCTTCCCAGCCCATCTTGAATGCTGACCAGTGCTCTCTGGCAGGCCCCCCTTCTAGCTGAGCGTCCTTGAACAACCAGGGTGACTTTAGGGGTTTCATATAGGACATCATTGAGGGATTCTTTTAGCTCTGATGTGGGTTTTTTTGTTTTGTTTTGTTTTTATTTTTTATTGTTTTGGTCATACCTGATTCTTCTCGGACATTAGGAAGTCCAGCTTTCCTTCCGGAAGTCCCAGCTCTATGAAAGTCTTCACCAGGCGGAGGTCTGCACTGTTCCCTAAAAACGAGAGACACCCCCACCCCAGACTCACGGTTACTCATATCAAAACTGACACACAAGGGATTCAGCTCCCCCTCTTCTCCGATCCCCCCAGGTCCCATTTGTTCAGGAAGCAGATAATAAAAACAGCTAAAACAAGTCCAACCTAGAGGTCCTGTGCTTCCCCCCACCCCCCCAACACAAGGTCACGGCCTTTCTAGTAGTCCTACCTCAGGGGAATTACTGCCTGATCCATGACCGTGTGACTCATGAACATTCCACACACAGAACAATCACAGATACACTCACTCCTCCTCCTCTACAGACACTTCTGTTCACGGCAAGGGGTGCCACTTTCTGGCTGACGGGACACGATATGACATCTACATGTCCCTCCTTCAAGTTCCTGCTTAACACAAAGTCTAGTTCTGCCACTTACAGCCAGCAAGTCCCCCAGACCGGCCAGTGGGGGCATAGTTCTATCTGCAACAAAATGACAATCGTCCTTGGGAACAGGAGTCATGCAAGTGCCAGCTTCATGGACTCCGTCTGGTCCCCAGTGACCACCGGGACAGAGGAATGACAGCTTAGGAATCTGGGGCATCTTGTAGCACCCGACGTAAAAATCACGTGGAGAATGCATCTAATAGAACAGACTAAGCTTCGTATTCAAGTACTCTTAGGCGTACATTTCAGGCAGACTATGGCGCTCAACTCCATCTTAATGGATATTTGACCTATTCCTCCAACGGGTCCCTGCAGAGTCGAAAGCTAGAAGCTGGTCGGTGGATAGATAGGTGACCTATTTTACCATATAACCAGAGTTTCAAAGTAGTTTGTAAACCATCAGTGATAGATCTGAGCCTAATGAGCCACCCAGGCGTCCCTCTTCCTATTCATTTCTGACAATACAATTAGGCCCTTTGGTCCCGTCATTGTTCTTATTTAAAGCTACCTACTGACATTCCAGGACATGGCCTTCACAGAGAAGAGTAGCAAGTGTTTGTATTCAGCATGAGGAGTCTAAGTAAGGGACGATAATGTCCCCTCTCCTTCAACCGCTGAGAGAGAGAGAACTCGCTGTAGCTCAAAACATTCTCAGAAAATATGATCGGACAAGGTGTTACACTGAGGGTGTTTACGAGCCTAGAAATCTTGGGCTTTGGGGAACATCACGAAGAGTTGTATGAATACTCATAACTCTTACCAACTTCTTCGGTTCTCTGTTGATATAAACATATCCTGGGAAGTGGAATTTGAACAAGTGGGTCCTGTACAACCCTGTAGAGTCTGGACCTATGTACCAGGAGCTGAAGAAGTGACCTTCAAAAGAAACCCGCGTGTGGGGCCCCTGGGTGGCCCAGCTGGTTGAGCGTCCGGCTCTGGATTTCAGCTCAGGTCATGATCTCAGGGTTGTGGAACTGAACCCCGTGTAGGACACTGCACTGGGTGTGGAGCCTACTTGAGGTTCTCTCCACCCCCCCCCTCTCTCTCTCTCTCCCTCCCCGCCCCTTCCCTGCCCCCACTCTCTCTCTCTCCTTCTAAAAAGCAAAACTAAAAAAAAATAAAATAAAATTAAAAAAAACCTTGTGTGTGATATCACTTGTCTTTCTGAAGATCTTCTGCCCAGTAGATAAGCCTGTACTTGTACTTGTCAGCACAAGGTTTCTGACATAGTTCAAAGATTGGTGAAGCTTCTCTGCTCCTTCTCCAACAGTCATGGTGGGAAAAAAAAAAACAAAACAAAATAGTCAACAAAAAGTCACCTGACAAGCTTCCTCATTTTAAGGAAGAGATTGAGGGTCTTTCTTATTTTAATTCACTATCAGATAAGAGGGGCACGCGGGGCACGTGCCACCTGATGCTGAGCTGACCACACGTTGGTGCTGATTAAAGAGAGAGTCACTGTGTTCATGGGTTCTTCTGATCGAAGTCCCACTTGAAATCAAGTCCGTCTTTCAGTAGCTTCTTACCTTATGAGACAGACGCTATGGATCTCAAGACCGCGCCTTTCTGACGCAGGGGTCACGCATAAGATTATCTCTGCTTCACCAGATTACTTAGCATTACCCTGGGTGGCAAGTGATTCCAGGATTTTATTTGTGGTAGTCATCTGATCGCTTTTATAAACATATTCAAAAAACACGCCAAGTGCAGTATGAAGTTTGGAGTCATAGTACAAGGTACCTGGGTGGAGTAAAACTGGGGAAGGGTATGTGAACGGCTGGGATTTGGGAAGGGCTGAAGTCAGCGCTGATCGGGGACAGCTCACTGGAGGGAGAGCCGTGGGTGACCAGACACAGTGGTGTGGGATGCACACATCCCTGGGAAAGGCAGGGAGTTGATGCAACCGCAGGAGGGAGAGGGCAGGAGGTGATGGCGGGGAGGGTAGGAACATACAGGGCTTTTCATGCTAGGAGCTTTCTGAGACAGGAGTTTTATCTTCTGCAGCTACAAAGAAGAGTTTTCACTAATGGACTGGCATGACCAGATCCTTTTTAAATTCCTATTTATTTATTTTGAGAGAGAGAGCACAAGCAGAGGAGGGGCAGAGAGAAAGACAGGGGCGGGGGGCAGAGAGAATCCCAAGCAGGACCCATGCTGTCAGTGCAGAGCCAGATGCAGGGCTCGAGCCCACGGACCATGAGATCACGACTTGAGCCTAAATCAAGAGTTGGACGCTTAACCAACTGAGCCACTCAGGTGCCCCTTGACAAGATCTTTGTAAAAGATAACTTAAACGGCGATGGGGACCGACGTTTGGACAGGGGAAGAGATGAACTTGTTGGCATAACGCAGAACAAAACCATGGGCTCTGGAGCCTGACAGTTCCACTGGGTTTTCACCTTGGCTCAACCACATTAACTGTGGGAACTTACACACGTCACTTAGCTTCCCCCTGACTCAGTTTCCCCAGTGATAATGGGACAATAACAACACCTACTCTGCAGGGCTGTTGTGATGATCAATGGCATTCATATGTGTCAAGTATCTAGAAGGACGTCTGGCCCCTGATGAGTCGATACGATAAACCAATGCTACTGCTGCCTCTCCGCCCTTCATCTTCCTCCTCTTCCTCCCTCCTCCCCCCTCCACCTCCTCTCCCTCTTTCTCTTCCTCCCCCTCCTCCCCTTCCCCCTCTTCTTCCTCCTTCTCCACTTCCTCCTCCTTCTCCTCCTCCTCCTCTAAAATCTATTGTTCACCACTGGATTATTGGACACTTCACCAAATAGACCCGTTAGACCGAGTGTCCTGGTACCCAAGGCATATGGCCAGACAATAAAACGCATTAGCCCCCAGGTTGAAAATTAAGAGTATAAAGAAGAGTGTGTCCTTGAAGGACAGCACACCACCACTCCCTAATAAATTGTCAGCAGAAGACTGTGACCACAGGTTTTGCCACTCGTCACCTATGTCGCCTCAGGGAAGTCCTTTCTCTTGCCTGACACTAGTTATGCACTGGAGTCCATACAAAGAGGATGTCCAATCATGTTCCACATTCCAGCTTTCAGATTAATTATGATGTAAACTTGAGCTTGAGGAGAACTCAGACACCCGTACCCCTAGTTGATCTGATCGCTTTCTTCAGCCAGTTAGGGAGAAGCTGAAATTCACGAGGGGAGGCAGGAGCAAGTTCTTGCCTTTGGTCCAGGCTGAGCTGGTAAGTTCTGTTATCTTATAGCACAGCGCCTTTGGACTGACCTCAGAAACCCTAAAGAGACCTGACACTGGGGACTAGGTCATTTAGGGGGCAGGGTAGGGAGGAGCCTTTCCCCCCTCCCTTCTCTCTTCCCTTGGACCGCATTGGCTAATCTCACGAAGTTAAGAACTTTTTAAGATCAGGAACCATGTTGGGTCTCTGCAATCCCAGAATTTGGTACAGTGCCTTGTGTTGCCCCATAAGTGAGAAATGAATAAAAGTAGGCAACAACATAGCTTGGGCCACTAACCTGAGCCCCTCGAAATGAATCCACTGAATTTCTCCCCTCCTTCTATTGACTCATGGGTCTCATTAATCCACACATTCTAACTACTCATGCATCCCATTAATATTTCATTCCATCCATCCATCCATCCATCCATCCATCCATTTGTTCTTTTATTTTTGTTCATTAGTTCCATTCATTATTCATTTCTTCCTTCCTTCATTCCATTAATTATTCCATTACTGCATTATTGCACTTTTTTATGTATTTCATTTACTTAAAAGATTTTTGTGTCAGAGATCTCATCTTTGGGCACAAGGCCATGTCATTTCCCTAGACCAACATGCCACCACTCCATGGTTGCTGGTGACACAGTTGAACAAGTACCTGACTCAAATTAACTCATAAATATCATAAATGGTTTATAGCACAGAATTCTGCGGAGGAAACCTTTTTGGGACTCACCATCTAGGCCATGGACACAGACTACCAGGTGAATCCCATCTTCCAAATTTTCTTCCTCTTCCTCTGGTGGGAAATACGGTATATCAGAAGCTAGTACAGATAAGTCACTGTACAGAAATCCAGCAATCTTCAGTTCTTTTTTAAATTTTTCTTTGGCCTGATAAAAACTGGAGAATACACTAATTAATCAGAAGCCACGCTGTGTGTGCCGTGTTGAGCAGGAGATGAGTTGAGCTGGGGAGTGGAAATGATGCACATGTACAAAGAAGTGTCTGTGAGCAGCAAAGGCAGGATATGAGGCCCCGGGAGATGCTGGTAAGGGAAGCTTTTTCCTCCACAAGGAGCCAGGAAAGCGTCCCGGGAAAAGCGTTACTGGCTTGGTTTCTGCAGATTTCTATGTGGTTTCTGCATGGAATGGGACTTTTAAGATTCTGTTCAGCTCTAGGGATCCATGCGATCCTTGAAAAGATCTCCCCAGAGGGAAAGTTTCCCAAAGTGGCCCACAAGGCTACCAGGGCTTGGACTCCACCTGCTTCTCAGCAGCATCTCCCAGCCTCCGAAGGGAACACACTGCTCATGGTTCCCTGCGTGAATTAAGTTCGCTTACTCCTATGCCTTTGTGCATTCGGGCCTGTCTGAGATGTCTTCCCACCGGGTTTGCCTGATTCTTGGACAAGGTGGTGGTTAAGAGCACAGACTTGGGAGTCTGACTGCTAAGGTCAGAATCTCAGCTTTGACATTTACTAGCTGTGGGCCACCCACGTAACCTCTCTGCATTTCCTTTCCTCATTTGTAAAAGGAGAAGACACGATTATCTAACTCATAAAACTATTCTGTATGTTAAGCGATATACGCAAAATGCTTAGAACAGTCCTCCAGACTGATTCAATAGTAAAAAACAGTGACCTATTACCAGACTTATCACTATCATCATCATCACCGTCATCACCACCACCATCATCACCATGTGTCTCGTATTTGCTCTGTAGTCGTGTCTAAAGTTTCCCCTAGCCACCGTCTCTATGCACACTCACTACCCAGATTGGGTCCTTCTCCTGGCTCAGCTGTGCACATACGGGAACCATCCCATCTACCCAGCTGCCCTCTCTCACTTCTCTCGTGTTTCTGTCTCCCTGTTAGGCTGGAAGTACGGTGCCAGCCAGGACAACCCAACCAGGCTTGGGGCACTACTTCTTCTCTATTTGCTAAACTGACAACAGGAGCGTAATAGGTACTTAATGTTCTTTATAAGTAAGGGATCCAAAGTTTACCTGCTTGAGCAATCTCTTTCGTGGATACCGTGAATAGGTAACTCTCCATCATTTTGTAGGAGAGTAATCAAATGATTCCACGATATACTTAATCAAATGTATAGTTCATAGATGAGGGATCACTATGAATACAAACCCAATGAGAGGATGCAGGGATGGATTTTGGCATTGCAAAAGGGATGATAAATGTAGGAATTGTACAAGGGGGCTTAGGAGGTAAATCCGATGAAATTTCCCCAAAGCCTCTTGAGGAACTGCCCTCTCTATGTGCAAAGATAGAGGTAGGGTGACAGTCGTAAGAGAATTGTTTCTCATAATAAAAACTAAGAATAAAACCTTAAATGCCCATCTCTAAAGGAGTTTGTTAATAAATCGAGCTATACCTAGACAATATTGTTTAAACGTTAAAATAAGAATGCAAAAATAAATCTGTAAATATAGAAAAGTCCCCAATATATTAAAGTTGAAAAAAACCCTTAGAGAGTTTGTATAGAACTATCCAATTTTGGCAAAAGAAGAATATATAGGGATGTACGTAGAAAAAAAGTGTAGAGAACTTACGCAGTGGCTGTATTTGAGAGATGGGCTTACTGAGCGTGTTGACTTGCACTGTCCTGTATCTCGGACTTGTATGATAGAAGCATATTAAGTTATCTAAGTCGGGAACTAACTCCTGTCTCGACGGATGCATGGAATTGAGAAATATGTGGGCAAACCCAAATCTGTGCTGGGGTGGGTAAGCCGTCAGCAAGCTCACCTGAACATCCTCTCACTGACTTCTTCCTCCAACTTGCTGGAATGAGTGGAAACGACTCCAAAGGAACCCAAAGGTTGGTGAGTGATGGGCAATGGGGTCTGTTTGGAAGCGAATCCGGCCCTGGCAGGGGTCTCCTTGGGCACAGACGAGAAAGGGAGACACGTGGCAGTGCAAGACACGGACAGGTTGACGACCTCCACGGCTTTCAGGCTGTCCAGGGTGAAGGTCTCTGCCGGGGGCAGGTGGGACACCATAACGGAAGTGCCTGCCCTTGGCTCTTGGTCTCCTAAGACCTGGGAGTGAACGGAGTGGGTCACGGTGGGGCACGCAGTGCCCGCTTCACGCCCAGCCTCCAGGACAGCATTGGCTCCCTTGCTGAACTCTGCATCATCCATGATACAAGGTGAGCTGCTCTGCTTGCCTGCTGAGCCCAGGTCGACGGCGTCAGCAACTGCGGTATAGTTCAACGCAGGCACCGTACGGTGGGCAACAGTCTCATCATCTGAGATGCTGCTGTGGAAACGAGCTCCTTTCTCCAGTTTCAAGTCCTCAGGCATGCCCTTTGGGGTCTCCTTTAGTACTCTAGGGAAAGATCCATTCCCAGGGTTTTCAAGGGCTATGATACGCGGTATTTTTAAATGAAGAACTTTGGTTTCCACACCTGGAGGGTTCTCCGTCCTGCCATCAAGACAGCAAGGTCCTTGAGGCTCAGACTGACTCTCTTTACCTTTGGGGATGTCTATGTAACCGGGGCCCTGCTGGTTGTCGGCACCTGAAACCACCTGTGCCCCAGCGTCCCGCGTCCTGGATCCCGGGGAGTCTATGGTCTCGACGGGCACAGTGCAACTTTCAGCAAGAGGCCCACTTTGCTGCATGGCGTCTGTGTCTCCAGCAGACTCTTCCGGGCTACTGATCTGGGGTGCAGATACGGACTTGGTCAACTTGGTGAGGGCCAACTCCCGTTCCTCCTCCTCAAAAGGCAAAGAGCTAATGGAGGTGAGGGATGCCTGGATCCCGCTCGGCAAACTCGTGTTGCTCTCCGTGTGTCCGCCCTCCAAGGAGTTCCTGTGCAGGCCGTGTCTTCGAAGCAGATGGTGCAAGGCTTCCCGGTCGCTGGGTAACTCCGGGGCCCTGCTTCGCGCCTCGGACCAAGCGACAGAGCTCGGCTCACTCTCAATGCCTGAATCGGAGACGACGGAAGAAGATCTCTTGATGACCCCAGAGAGCACCGACACTTCCTCCTGCTCCTCTGAGGGAGGGTCCTTTGGGGAAGCCCTAACATCCAAGGGATCCCTCAAAGCAGAGTTCAGTGGATCGCAGGGCTCAGAGGGGATGAGCTTCAGGCTTAGCAGCACCACCTTGCCGTCTCGGTCTGCAACCTTTCCTAGAGGACTTAACTCACGGAGTGTTGCTTTCTCTGAAGAGATGGCATGTGGACCACTTGTACCTGATACCTCCTTGCCCGGCACAGTTCTGGCGGGTTCATAGTTATCTCGGGAGTGCCCACTCTCGTGCTGAGCACTAACGACCACCGTGGGTTCAGGGCCGCACGGGTCCTTATTGCTAGATTTCACATCAATGTAGGTGAGTACCGGGGGCTGGCCATCCTCTGGACCTGGCCTCCTTCTGGGCAGGTCCTCATCTGCCAGGGGACGTGTTCCAACATCGGCCCTCGGGCCAGCCCAACATTCATCTTCAGGCAAACCTGCCTTGTTCTGGACCTCACCGATTGTCAGATACACCTGAGATTCGGAGCACACATCCGCGTGTTTTGGTGTAGCTGCACTGTCATCTGCCTCTGAACACCTCAGAACTTCCTCGTCAGAGTCCATCTGGGGTGGTTTCATGGCGGGCAAGACAAGGTCTTCCCTGAAAGGTGATTTTCTATTTACAACAGGGCTCTCTTCTCTGTCTTTCAGATTCATTATTGCGGGACTTGTTTGAACATCAAAATTAGGGGAAACACTCAAACTGTGCCCTACAAAAAGAAAAAAGAAAGAAGAATGTTTGTCGTTTATGAATCTATGTCCACAGATTATCCAGAAGCCTGACGGTATAATCAAAAACTTGGCTGAGCTTTGTTCCTGGTTCCTGGCGGACAAGCCCTGAACTCGTGGAATTTCCCAAGTGATGGAAAGGTCTTTGTTATTTGTGGCTGGCAGGCCCTGAAGGCGTATGCTAGCCTGGTGACTCAAGATGAGCCCTTTAATAGTTTACGCTAAGGAAATGAGTCAGGATGGGGACTGGCCATGCGAGAAAGACCAAACACTGGTCGTCAGATAACACCAGGACAATCTCCCAGGAGAGCAGTTCAATCACGTGGCCAACGATTCAACCAACCCCAACAACAACTGTGGACACTGGGGCTTGAATACGCTTTCCTGGTGGCACTACACATTGATTTGCCAGGATGACCAGTCCTGGGGGCACTGGTCACGGAGCTTCGTGTTTGGGACCCTTCTAGACCTTGCCTTATGGGTCTCTTCTTTGGCTGGTCTATATTTGGATCCTCTATGTTAAAACTGTAACCATAAGCATAGCACTTTCCTGAATTCTGTGAATTGTTCTAGCAAATCATCAAACCTGAGGGGTTGGTAGGAAGCCCTGAATTGGTAGCCAGCTGGTCAGGAACACGGGTGGCCCAGAAACCCTCCAGCTGGGGTCTGACCCGGGGACAGCCTTATCAGAGGCTGTGCCCTTGACCTGCGTAACTCAACCGAACACCAGGTAATCAGCGTAAGAATCGCCGTGCACTAATGCAAAACTGTCAGATATCATTATTCATGATTTACCTTTTACTTATCAAAACAGTTTTGACAATTACCACTTTTAAATATTAAAGCTCTTCCCTGTCTTCTGTACAGTATTGACAGTGTAGAAAGACAGCTTTGCATCCAGGAAGGTCCGCCTTCTCATCCTGACTCTGGCACAGCCGTGAGGCCTTGGACAACGACAGAATAAATAAGCCTTTTTTTCCCACCTGAGCTCACTTGCCTCAACTCTAGGATGGGCAGATTCATAGTGACCAGCAGGCCTCACAGACATAGCTCACAGGAGAGTTACGATAGGAAATGGCACATGTGGGGAAGACAGATCTCTGCCTTCTGTAGGGAAACCCTCCAAGCTTTAGCTCTGTCCCCAGGGCAATTATCCCGCATGGCATTCAGACCACAGAGGTTCCCAGGTCACTCTGATCTTCCCGGTAGGATGGCGGGGGTCACAGCATGACCTTCTTTCTCTTATTTTTCTCTAGGGTAAACTATTATCTCTCTCATCCTGTCTCTCAGTCTCTTCTCTTCCCTCCCCCCTGCACCCCCACTTTCCCCTCTACCTCCCTCTCTTCCTCCCCCTCGCCCTCCTCCTCCCTATCTCTCTTTCTCTCCCTTCTAATAAAGCATAAATGAAAGAAAATAAGTACCTGCTATGTCTGTCTGAACCACCACTCTCTCGACAAAGCCATCTGATATGTTACTCACTTCCCATATACAGCAAACAAAAGAAGACAGGGTTTAGGCTTTCATTTTACTTAAAACATTCAAATCCTTCATACGGTTTTCATAGAAGTTAAAGGAATATAACAACTATAGGAGGTTATGAAGTGAATCAGGAGACACTTACAACATATCAACAGCTCACACCTTGGAGTGAAATTTATGACTGGGTCAAAGAGTAGACCAAAGACTGGGAAAGAATGGGTCTCTTCCTCAGGTCGATATGTTCTTTGCATCTTGAGGGGCTGAGCAAATGTCTCTTCCTCTAGGGGAGCTTTTCCAAGGCCAACAACAAGTTAGACGTTCTCTGGGCAAACTCCCAGCATCCCCTCTACACACATGTGCTGTAACACCACCACCACGACTACCATGTATAATGGGATCCACCTGTGCACTTCCTGTCCCCACTGCAGAGAAGGGCTTGTGTTGTATGAATATCTGTGCGCCCACAGCTAACACCATGGTCGCCACATAGTCCCTGAGCTGTGTTCATAAAATGACTTGAGAACAGAACAGAAATGTAGCAGAAAAAAGGCGATTACTCTCGTGAGCTGTTTACATCGGTTTGAAAAAACCACAACGTCAGTGTGACTGAATCCATAAATAATAATTGGCAGAGCCTCTGCACAAAGTCCTGTATGAGGCCCTGGGTTAGGGAGACGGGAGGTGGGGACCAGTAATAATAATGAACTAGTCTCTCTGTCTCCAAGGGATCTTCAAAACATTGGGAAGCATACATAGCACAGTACGGTTGGCTCTACCTGAACCACGCGGGCTGTGACCTTGGAAAATATGAATTGGGTTCTTCTGAGAAGGAGATAATGAGTCGTGCTGGGTGCAGAGAAGAGCAAAGGGCAAAGACCCAGAAGCCTGGGGTGCACAGTCTGGTCAGACATCAGATCCCATGTGAATGGAATAAGACTGAACAGGGGCGTGGGGCGAGCATGAGGTTGGATAGGTAGAGAGAACCCACGATATGGATGAACTCGAATGCCCTGTATGAATGAGGAGTCTGGTCTTTAGATTAGAGGAAGACAGGAGGATTGATGGGTTCTTTGAACAAAAATGAAAGATGCCTCTGATTGATCACAGACAGTATATGCCAGGACACAGAAAGCCCAGTGAGGAGGTGGGCTGTCAAAATTAGCAACACTGGTTTCATGCCACAACTGTGCGACAAAAAAGTAGCAGAACATCTAATCCAAAGAGGATGGATGTAGTCAGATCCTAGCTCATGGTATTAGTTGACATGCATTCCTAACTGCCTTTGTGCCGATCACTCTTACGTGTTCTGTGGCTGGATCTCTCCCCTGCTCACAGTAGGCCTGCGGAATATAAATTACAATTCTTTTTGCCCAGTTTCACATGGTTACCAACGGTTGGAGAAAAGATTCAAATTCAGGCAGTGGGGCCAACCTTTAAGGCCCTTAGGCAAATGGCTCAATTGCCTTGGGACCTAGGAGTGCCGGATACCTGGGAAAAAGGATCCAGACAATACAGACAGACTTCCCGAGTGCCTGGTACCCAGTAGGTATCTACCATGGGATTACAGCAAACCATGAATAAATATTACTATTTTCATATGGAAATGGGACTCTTTTCTGTCCCTTTCTTCACTAGCTAAAACAATGAAATGCAAATGTGATGGCCTCATTGCAAATTACATTAAGGTCACCAACCCCTGGAGGAAAAGGAAATAGTTCTTTATTTGCTAATGGTTTTGCTCTGGGATTAAATCATCAGAGCACATTGTGAAGGAACAAAGAAGGTCAGGGAAAGTTTTGAGTGGGGAAATGGGGGTGGGGGCGGGAGGGGAAGGAGCAGGTGAGAGGTCTGTAGAGAGAAATCTTGAGGAGACAGCCAACCCTCTGAGAGCAATTGCCTTGGGGTCCCTCTGGGAAGACGGGATCTTTAGTGCTGGTGGCCCAGACTCCGCCAAGTCCCATGTCCCAAGCACATCACAGAAGTTGCTGGTTCTAAATTAGATGTAGAGCTTAGAGGAAACTGCATGGGCAGATGACCCTGGAAAGACGACCCCCAGCCACATCTAAGTCTAGGGCACTGACATGGGGGAGAGTGGGTGAGGGCCAGCAGGGAAACTCCAGAAAGCCTGAGGTTGACTTGCAGCCCGAGGTTGATTTCTGTGCAAGACAATTGCACGGAGATGTTGCAGGACTGAGATTTACATCCGCTGGGGTGTCTGTTTTAACATGTACAGGAAAACAGACTGGAAGATTGGCTGCAATGAGGCCTAATGATACCATCAGGGGGTCTGATCATGGGTGCTTATTTTAAATTTCTTCTCTAACTGTTCAACTTGCCTGTAGCTACATGACAAAACTGTAACGAAAATGATCATATACACATACACACACACCTACACTCGCAGCGTCAAGGCAGAGTTGGAATAAGCTTTGTCTGACCACCGGGTAGCTGGCCATCTCCAGAGCCCCTACCTTCTGGCTGTCCTACACGATGTGGACACTAGATGTCAGTTGGCTTTTATAAGCTGCATGATCTTTAATACATATTTATACTCCCGAGCCTCAGTTTCTCTCGGTGAAATAGGGCTTAGGAGGTTGGGTTGTCTGTTTTTTAATAGGATTAAAAAGATAAAACAGGTAAAACCTCCAGCGGGGTATTTTCTGGCTCTTTCAGGGACTAGGGGTTTACTTCAGCTCTGTCACCTGTGATAGCTTTGGGGTTTCCAAGAGCAGGGCTGTGCGAGGGGACAGAGGACTAACATCTCCCGAATGCCCGGTGTGCATCAGCCACACACCCCCCCCCGCCCCCGCCCAGCTATCAATTCATTAACAAACTGTGCAACACCAGCAAGACAGACTGTGATTCGGACACAAACACACAAATACACAGGAACCCGCTGTCTTTTCTCCCTGAGCTGAGTAGCTCATCTACCAATCTGATCGTTGATGCAGCCTGCTTTCTCGAATACCTTGTCTGGTTCATGGCACGAAGCAAGCACTCCATAGGAGTCTGAATCGAATGCCATTAGAATTCAAAGAGAAATGATTTTATATCTGAGTTGCACATTTGGGATAAGAAAGGATGCCCATCCTATGCTCACGGTATTCTGGTGAGGGGAGAATCTGGTTCCCATTCTATAGGTGGAAACACTGAGGCACTTGGTACGATTTTACCCCAGGAGGAGTCAGGAAGGGGATCTTTACTGCAGTTGTCCTTCTGTTACATCGATCTGTCAATTGCACTGACATAAGGTCATCTCCCACTGGTGGAGCCTGAACTGACAAATGACTTCCTTGATTTGGTTCCACTGTTATCGGAAAACAAATAGGGCAAAGGACTGGGACCCGCTGTTCTCTCCAAAACAAAGACCAACCTGTTGCAGGGCAGTCCACGTATCTGTCCTCAAAGATAACCGGCAGGGTGTTCCAGTCACCATCGATGTCCAGACACTCCGCGGGCAGCGGGGGCATGGTGGTGAGATACTCTGAATTCCGGATGTCCAGAGACAGCTGGCTGTGGGTCTGTATCCTGGGGACACACGTACCTGGTTAGCACCCAAGAAAGCCTTTTTTTTTTTAAGTTTGTTTGTTTATTTATTTAGAGTACGAGTGGGGGTTGGAGCAGAGAGAAAGGGAGAGAGAGAATCCCAAGCAGGCTCCACACCATCAGCAAAGAACCTGACGTGGGGCTCAAACTCACAAACCGGGAGATCATGACCTGAGCCGAAACCAAGAGTCAACCAACTGAGCCACCCAGGCACCTCTCCAAGGAAGTTTTAAATGTGTTAAGAATCGTTGCTCCAGCCCCTTATCCCAAGAAAACATTCAGAAAATGTTCAGCAGGCTCTGACGATCCACCATCTGTCTGTCCTCTCTTCCTTTCTTGCCAGCCACCTACCCAGCCCCCAATGCCATGGTCTGCTTTGTATCCTAACTGGCCTGGGCACTGAGGTTAGAGGTCAGCGATTGTATGACCAGGGCACTTTATCACACCCCATTTCAGTGGGAAGCAACAAATACCATTCTAGCGGAGCAGGAACTGAGTTTCTAAATGGCAGGAATCTTAAATTAGTACTTTGGAGGAAACACTTCAAGTTACGTATCCTTTACTCCTGCATTTCTAAGCTGCTATAGGTTAAGAATTAAGAACCATCGAAAATTGCTATTTTTTTTTTTTTTTATTGCTTGCTGTGTGGACACCAGCATCCTTGATTAGCACATAAGTTCCTCTAGTTCAGGAGCCCTGGTTTTTTGTTCTTCTAAGTAGGATTAAAAAAAAAATGCCCCATGTTCTTC